ATTGGCTTACATACAACACCCAGTGCTCATCCCAACAAGTACTATTTTTTAAGTAATCTCTACACCCAACATGGGACTTGAACTTACAACCCCAAGCTCAAGACTTGTGAGTTCCACTAACTGATCCAGCCAGGTGCCCTAAGAATATCTGTATTTTTTTTAATGTTTATTTGAGAGAGACAGAATGTTAGTAGGGGAGGGTCAGAGAGAGAGGGAACACAGAATCTGAAGCAGGCTGCAGGCTCTGAGCTGTCAGCTCAGAGCCCAACACGGGACTCAAACCCACGGACCGTGAGATCATGACCTGAGCTGAAGTCAGACCCTTAACCGACTGAGCCATCCAGGTGCCCCATGTATGTTAATATTTGTAAATGTCTGCACAGTCTCCCAGGGTTTTATAACACTTCACAATTCTGACAGCAAAATTAGAAAGTGCCCCTTTGCTACCTGTTAAAAATTCCAACCTCCTTCAATGCGACCGCCCCTGAAGTGTTTTCTCAGGATGTTGGGTGTGACACTGAGAAGAGATGTTCCACGGACAGGACACTACAGTAACCAGATGAATAAAGTGCAAAAGGTACATAGTGTGAGCGAGGAGCTCCCTGTGTCTTGAACCTTAACCAGCTGTGAGGCCACATGTCTTCAGGAAATTCACAACAATTACCTCTTGTCCATTCCCCTCAACACACTGGCTTCCTTCTGAGCCTTGATTTTCTGGAAAAAAAAAAATAATGCCTCCTCAGGGCCTTTGCACTGGCTGACCCTTTTCCACTTTCCCCAGGATGTTTTTTTTCTTCCTTCAAGTCTCTGCTTAAATGTCACCTTCTTAGCCAATCTTGACCGAACACACAACATAACACTCCCTCCACTCTCTCTTTTTACCTGCCTTCATTTTCTTCATAGCCTCTGTTCCTATCTCAGAATTATCTCATTTCTATATGTGTGTATATCCAGTCACCACCATTGAATTGAAGGTACCATTCCTCTTCAACACCCTCTACCTTATGACTTGAAAATGCTGACAGCATGGTTGACACTCCATATATTCCTCAAATGCATGAAATAATTTCTTATTAACTCTATGATACCTGGCCATTGGGGGAAAAACTGATGTTGGGATGAAAATTACTAATCAGAGAGGAAACGGTGATCCCCTCAAGGGGCCCAGATCCATTCACAAAGTATTGAAATTATTTTATTGACTGGAAATACATGGTAGCATTTGAACAATGTGGGCCAGGCCCATGTGAAGTTTTGTCATGTTATTTTCCCCTTTACTGGTAGTCACCTCCACCACATGGACCCAGGAAATGATACAGGAACTTCACAATTTCTTCTTATGGGATTTTCAGAAGAACCAGAACTGCAGCCCCTCATATTTGGGCTTTTCCTCTCCATGTACCTGATCACTGTGTTTGGGAACCTGCTCATCATCCTGGCCGTCAGCTCTGACTCCCGCCTCCACACACCCATGTACTTCTTCCTGGCCAACCTGTCCTTTGTAGACATCTGCTTCACCTCCACCACCATCCCAAAGATGCTGGTGAACATCCAGACTCAGAACAAAGTCATAACCTATGAGGACTGCATCACACAGATTTATTTTTTCATACTCTTTGCTGTGATGGATGTCTTCCTCCTGAGTGTGATGGCCTATGACAGGTTTGTGGCCATCTGCCACCCCCTCCACTACACGATCATCATGAACCCCCAGCTTTGTGGGCTGTTGGTTCTGGTGTCCTGGATCATGTGTGTCCTGAATTCCCTGTTACAGAGTTTAATGATGTTGCGGCTCTCGTTCTGTACACAGGTAGAAATTCCCCACTTTTTCTGTGAACTCAATGAGATGCTCCAGCTTGCCTGTTCTGACACCTTTCTTAATAACGTGGTGATGTATCTTGCAGCTGTCCTGCTGGGTGGTGGTCCTTTTGCTGGGATCCTTTACTCTTATTCCAAGATAGTGTCCTCTATACGTGGGATTGCATCAGCTAAGGGCAAGTTCAAAACGTTTTCCACCTGTGCGTCTCACCTGTCGGTCGTGTGTTTATTTTACTGTACGATGCTTGGTGTGTACCTCAGCTCTGCTGCTACCCAGAGCTCCCACTCAAGTGCCACAGCCTCGGTGATGTACACGGTGGTCACGCCCATGCTGAACCCCTTCATCTACAGCCTGAGGAACAGAGACATAAAGAGTGCTCTGAAAAGAATTGTTGGGGTTCAAGTGATGTAATGGCCAACTGAACTGTCTTGGGGTTGGAGACGTGTCCATGATTGCAGGGCAGAGCCTCAGAACCAAGAACTGCTCTTCCTTGAATAGACTTTGGCAGGAGAATCTGCTCCTTCTGTTTTTCTCCTGGAATTTCCTCTTGTTTGCTTTCAACTTCTCTATACATTTAAGGAACTCACTTTATCAAGCTTCTGCTCTGTCTGACATAGTTTCCCCTTTGTCCATTTTCATATGTCCCCAATGTCTTCCCCAGCCTTAGAACATAAATGCCTGGAAATTTCTGTATCTAATGTGACAAGTTGGATTTCTTAAAAATAATTTCTTTTCAAATGACTTATCCCACGAGAAGTAAATCTCCCCTAGATTTTCCAAGAACATAATCACGAGTTATAGTCTTCATATGGAAAAAAGCTACACTTGGCCCCTAAGCCCTCTCCATAATTTTATTGTAGATGAATATACAAACCAAAGTTTTCACCTTGTGTCTGTCAATCTTTTTACATCACAACCTAAGCGTTCCTACTGATGATGTGGACTCTAACAGTGTTCCCTTTAAGCTTCTGGCTATTGACACCACAATGCTCTGGCTAGGAAAGCCCCGGCACCCATGCCCATGTGCTTGTGGACATTCCCAGACCTTATGCTGTGACTCACTGGCCCTCGGGTTCTTATTGTGATCAGAAGACACACCTCGGCACCTCCATCAGAGAACTCTAAAAAAGCAATGCCTATTACTCACAG